GGGAGATTTCCATTACTTGCATCTGAAGAAGTGAGGTTCTTACCCACGAAAGCTTATGCTCCCAATACTTCTGTTAGTCTCAAAGGTGCCACAGGACCCTCTGGATTTCACAGGCTCATTTGTACATTTTTGGGATATATTTTGCAAATTTGGACTAATTTATCCTGTGTTAATCAACTCTTTGCTGGCTCTGTTTATGACCTCCTCACTCCTGCACTAAAGTCCCCTAATCCCACAGTGGCCTGCTGTCTGGTACTGCCCACTGTGTTAAAACCCTTCACTTGTTTCCCTCCCGCATAACGTCAGGGGGAATCTGGGGTGAAGCTGCCCTTAACCAAGCCCTTGCTTTGACTCCCTGTATGCAAGTCACTTCATTAGTACTGCCTTCAGCAGCGAGGACTGAACTGAGCTGCCTATAAAGGGTCACTTTCTTTTTCCCCCACTGCCTTTCTGGGAGTTTGGAATACCAGCTCATTTAGCTTTCACACACCCAACTGGGTAGATGAATGAGAGGCAGAGTCTGGGAATTGAATCGACCTGTGTCCCCCTTTACTGTAAGCCGAACAAGCAACAGGCTGTTCGTGTGCTGTGTTCTGCTTATAGAATGAGAAAGGATGACTGATTCATCACAGGACAGTCAACCCAGATCTGTGCTGCTGAAAGGAAGAGCAGGCTCTCCATTTATAAAGACTCAGTATCCTCCTGTGGCATGTCCTATCAGGAATCCTGCTTTGTGAATTGCAGCCAATGCTAAATCTGCTCCAAACAGGCGCTTCAACAGTTATTTTGCAAAGCTTGTGGCTCAGCTGTGCGTTGTTGCTGATGCCGCAGAGAGCTGACTCACTCATGACATTAAAAGACTCTAGAAGTTCTTTTAAGGGGGCAATGGCATGTGCACTCTAACCTTCTGCTTTCCTTTTCATGTCCTCTCTAATCCAGAAACCTGTACTAATTGCAGTTAGATTTATGAGCATAACCCGCAATTCAATCCCGGTATGTATTAATTGCATCGCACTCCGTGACAGCTGCATCCCATCATTGTGTGTAACCCTCCGCTCGTTCAAGCACCGTGTCACAGGCCTTTGTTTGACTCTGCCCATTCATTCCTGTGCAGGACCCACCTCAGTGACTGACTTTTCATTTCTCTCTCAGTAGGGAGCACCCTAAGGTCCCCCTGTCCTGGAGGAGGTGCTAGAGCAGGAGTAGGAACTGATGCCCAGTGGTTGATGAAATAGCCCTCAGCAACTGCAGTCGGTTACTGCAATTCACTGGTCCGCTTCTCCAAAGGCTGCTCTTGTACTCTGTCTGTGTGTACTCTCCTAGTCACGCCACTGCTCCTGCATGCTGCTCTTTGGAGGGGTGATTTGACCTGGCAAATCGCACAAACCTTCTCAGAGAGGGTGGAGGGTCAGCACTAACAAATGAAAATAGCTGGGGGAATCCTCATCACTTAGCCAACAGAGGCCTCTGTTTGCTGCAGAGTTCTCTCCTGAGTCTCTAATTAACCCTGCTTCAGTCAGCTTTGCCATTCTTGTCCTTTCTATTGTGTTCCTCGTTCCATTCATTTTCTCTTTACCTCTAGTTCTGTTCTTTTCTTCCCTCCCCTCTGTTTTCATCCAAGCCCTTCTTTTTCCTTCTCTTTCCTCCCTCACACCTCTTCCTTTACTCATGTGTGTCTGTTTATACACAGTACCCCTCCGAGTTGTTCCCGCTGCTTCAGTTCTGCCATCATTTCGCACCACAGTGGATGGATGCCCCCCAGATGCTTGCCCCAGCTAATGCAGCATGGCTAAAGCAGGGTAGTGCAGCACTAGGAGCAATCTAGGAGAACTGAGCAGGAAAAGAGGCCCCACTTTTCCTCTCGCCCCTCCCTACACCTGAAGCCAAATGCACCGTGATGTTCAGAACTTGGCACTTCCAACCTTCAGCTTTTAATTTATGGATCCAATTGATGGATCTTTTATTTTTTCCTCACTCCTGCTACAGTCTGTAGCCCATCAGAAGCAGCTACTTCCTACCTCTTGCTTGGCAGGATGGTCACGTTGTGATGGATGAGGAGAGCAGTCTTTGCAACAGTACTTTAATGTGAAAGATAACACACCTGTTTACTCACAGCCACAGTATCTCCTCGCCCTTTTACATACTTAGCAGTGCCAAGCATTTGGGGACTGATTAGAAGATCAGAATCTGAGCTATGCTGCCATTAATTTCTTGTGTTGGTCGATGTATTCTGCAATTCCTTCATTCATGTTTGTGTCTGTGCTGCAGCATTCTCATTAAGGGTCTGTCTGTAGGAGCCTGTATTGTGCTATCCATCTTTAAAACACACACACATTAAAGAGCAGCTGTGTCCTTTGCCTTTCTCAGATGGGTCCAGCAAAGTGCTAGATTGATTCAGGTGAATAACAGAGGCATTAAGCCAAGGCACACTTACGTTGACTACAAAGCTTTTAGCTTTTGACTTTCTCCATCAGTAGCATTAATGTACATGATATAGTTAAAGTAACTTTTACCCTAGAGAATCTCTTCCAGAAAGGCATCCCACTCTTGTTTTGAAGACATCATATGCTGGAGAATTTACCACATCCCTCGGTAGTTTGTTCCAATGGTTAATCACCCTCACTGTTTTTAAAAAAAAATGCCTTGTGGCATGGATGGAATATGGGTCAAGGGTGACTACTGGGACTGTTTCTACCTTTGCAAATGGGGACAGGTGGTGATGCTTTGTCTTCAGAATTGAGGTGATATGATGCCCCGATGGTAGTTGAGCCTCTCCTGGAGGCTAACCTTGGAACAGCATTGGCCCCAATCATAAAGCAGGTTGCTCTGCTGCTAGAGAATATCATAGAATCATGGAAATGTAGGGCTAGATGGAACTTCAAGAGGTCATCTCCCCACACTGAGACAGGACCAAGTAAACCTAGACCATCCCTGACCGATGTTTGTCCAAACTGTTCTTAAGAACCCCCAGTTTCAGGGATTCCACAACCTCCCTAGCTAACCTGTGCCAGTGCTTAACCATCCTTAAAGTTGTGAAGTTTTTCTAATATCTTACCTCAATCTCCCTTGCTGCTGACTAAGCCAATAACTTCTTGTTCAAGCCCCAGTGGACATGGAGAACAATTGATCACCATCTCATTATAACAACCAAGACTGTTATCTCCCCTCTCAGCCTTCTTCTCTGTAGACTAAACATGCCCAACCTTTCGTCACAGGTCATGTTTTCTAAACCTCTTACCGTTTTTCTTGCTCTCTGGAATCTCTCTAATTTGCCCATATGTTTCCTAAAGTGTGGTCCCCAGAACTGGACACAGTACTCCAGATGAGGCCTCACCAGTGATGAGTAGATTGGAATAGTCACTTCCCATGTCTTAGAAATGACAAATACAACAAAATTCCCCGATCTGACATCCAACTCAAAAGTGAAGGGGGGGAATAAAAAAGAGTCTGCAAAATCCCATCTGAATCTGCTCATTCTATCCCCAAAATACATGATGAGCAGCAGAAAGTGCAGTGTGTAGGGAAAGGCCCTGGGGTTGTAATTGGGGCACCAGATTCTGTAGATTCAGGAATCATTAAGTGGGACAAAGCAGTATCTGAAGTTCTAGCAGTACAATTTGTATTGACATGAATGAGATTTGCGCAACTCAAAGCCTGTGCAGCACTTAGGAAAAAAATACCTCTCCCCACATTCTCGTTCAAAACAGTCTGTTTTTTTGCTTTCAGAGCATAAAGGAGGAACCATTACAAAGAGACTTAGAGCAAAATCTGTTTAGTTTATCAAGAAGATCAATAGGTGACTTGATTGTATAATTATATTTATGGGGAGAAAATCCCAGAAATTGAAGGGCTCTTTAATCTAGCAGAGAAAGGCAGAACAAGAAACAATGACCAGAAGCTGAAGTCAGACAAATTCAAATGAGAAATAAGGCATATTTTTGCTAACAGTAAGAGTGATTAACCATTAGAACAAACTACTAAGGGATGTGTTAAATTCTCCAGCATTTGATGTCTTCAAACCAAGACTAGGTTGTCTTTCTGGAAGAGATGCTCTAGCGAAACACATGTTACTGGACTCAATACAGAGATAAGTGGGTGAAATGTAGTGTCTTGTTTTATACAGAAGGTCAGACTAAATGATCTAATGATCCCTTCTGCCCTAAAACTCTATGAATCTGAAGAGTGAAATGCAAAGTGTTTCTCATAATGGTAAAAGTTCCCATATTCATGTGGAACTGATAGGAGATTAGTCTCTTCATTGTGTCTTATGTCCAAAGAAACCTGTTATTTCTCTGTCCCCATGAGGCAAACCGAGGCATCTGGTACTAGGAAAGGTCAAATATAGCCCAGCTCTACGTACAATATCTTTGTTACTCTTTTTTCCTCATTCCTTTTCAATGGATTGGAGTTCCAGTCCTGGTAGGGAAAGAAACCACTGGTTCACATGAGTCATGCATGCAAAACTGCAGCATCTTCAGTATATGGGGTGTGAAGATTGGCACAGTAATTCCCACACTAATGGAAGACACCAAACATACCATAGTAACCTTTATGATCCCATAGGAATTAACAGAACATTGCAGTTAATGTTCTAATATTGAAAGTGGGGGTATTTATATACTGGGCTGCTGATCAAGTTGTAGTTAATATAATGAGCCAGCAGCTGTAATGTGAGTTACAGCGCACTGAGTGAGTCTGTGAAGATCTGAAGATACTGAGCTTGCTCACTAGGTTGGGCTTTCCAAAGAAATTAAGTTGATTTAGGAATACAGGTCTCATTGCAAATCCATAGGACTTCTGCTCTGAAGTCTCTTACCTACTTTTGAAAATTCCTCCCAAAAATTACAGCAAGGAAGAATCTTCTTGCATAACTAGCTGGCAGTTTTCAAACTATTATAAGTTGAAATAATAGCGCCTCTGCTTACTTCATATCAGAATAGTTACCCAGTCGGCTGGAGTTGTACACTGCTTGATCAGCAGTCTAGTAGTTATTCATAGAATCATAGAATATCAGGGTTGGAAGGGACCTCAGGAGGTCATCTAGTCCAACCCCCTGCTCAAAGCAGGACCAATCCCCAGACAGATTTTTGCCCCAGATCCCTAAATGGCCCCCTCAAGGATTGAACTCTCAACCCTGGGTTTAGCAGGCCAATGCTCAAACCACTGAGCTATCCCTCCCCCCCTAAGCTCTGAAGGATGCTTAGAGATTTTTCTCTTGAACAGTTTCACTGCTCTGCCATCTTTCCCCTCACCTTGTTTCACACAGTGGCACCTCTGCCTCCTCATTCCCTTTCCCTGATGTAAGGAGCTAGTGTGTGCTTTAACTGGCCTCTCTGCTTACTTTAATATTGGACCTCTCATTTCCACAGACAGTGCGAGGACTAAAAGTGCAGCCATGGTTTTGTAGCTGGCTTTTGCACTTAGCATCATTTGAGCTCCCTAGTGTTTGTTGTGTACGGAGAGCAACTCACCAGCCTGCTAAGCTGAATGTTCGCATTGGATAGTGTTATCCGTATCGTTTTGTGTGCATAGTGGGATTGTTTTTCGCAAAGAATGGGATGGTTTAGGACTGTGCACGCCAACGTTTTGTGTACAATGTTCAGGATGTTCTCACCCCGAGCCAGCATTGTGATTTGGCAGACTGAAGGCTTCCTGCCTTACAGCCTGGGCTTGTAAAAATACATTCTGTTGTGTCTTTGACTTTGGAAGTCCGATGTGCATGTCACTAAAAAGTTTCATCTGTCCTTTTCTGAACACGCAAAACATTTATGTCCCCCCAGCCAGCCTGCTGTGAGCTTTGAGATGTCCTTGATTGTCATGCATTGTAACTGGTGTTGTGGACTGTGTACATGTGCTAAGCACTTGTTGCTGAAGTTGTTTCCTCCATTCTTGGTACTGGAGATAAAGGGGGGAAGAACACTGTCAGTTTAAAATGTACCATGACATGCCTGCAAGGTTTGGCGATAATGGCATGAAGTTTGTTGATTTGGGTTTTTATCTGCAGGGCAAAGGACGTCTAAGGCGTGGAACTTTCCCCAGTCCAACATCTCCTGTTTCAGTGCGATTACCCTCCGTGTCTGATGTTTCTGAGGAGACTGTGAGTAGTGAGGAGGCAATGGAGATGGATGTCTCAGATCAGCAGCAGGCAGCTATGCAGCAAGAGGAGAGGGTGCTGACTGAGCAGATCGAGAGCTTGCAGAAGGAAAAGTGAGTCACAGGGAATGGAGGGGTGGAAGGGCTCAGTGCTCCAGAGGTGGACAATTAATGTTGGGAATCTGGAATCTTAAATTCAGATTCTCTTAGAGCCACAGGTGAACACAAATTTGGTCCCACTCTGATAGCTGTTGAAAAATGTTCTCCACTTCACAAAATTTTGTACAGTTAGCAATGTCTGCACATCAGGGTGAGGTGCATCAGCAGTACTATGAAGGGGACCCAAAACTGAAGGCAAGTCGTGTTGCAGGTCGGGATTGAGGTGCATTTGTGCTGAAGGGTAGGGGTGCACTTGCGCGGAATGGCAGGTCAAGATTGAGGCACATTGCCAGAAAAAGAGTTTTAGAACTGGTATGGAATAGAGACTACATGGATGTCAGTTAGCAGTGGGGAAAGGTGATGTGTCCATGCTGATCGTTAGAAGATCAGCAGTGGTTCCTTTCGTTGAATGTGAAGTATTGTTGAACTGACTGGAATTGGCAATGTAGCCCTTGGTTTCATTCCTTTCTATGCAGGAGAAGCCAGAGGCTAATGCTAAGTAAATGCTCTTCTTCCTGAAGAGCCCTGACATACACTTCCGTCAGGATTCCATCCGGTCACCCTTCCTGCCCAATGTGTGTGGGGAGCCACTAGGGGAGATGGTGAAACATTCTGAGCTGCAGCGACATCAGTCTGCTGCTGACACTCAGCTCTCTGATTCCTTCTCCTCTAATGGAGATTCTACAGCCTCGTTACTGCTGCTGTCTGACTGATCGGGATCTGGGTGAAAGACAGCCCAGAAGCAGTGGGAGAGATGCTAGCTGGCAGGCAGCAGCACTCAGAGTAATGATCATAGACTTTGTCTGCATCAGCTGTTGAGGGTGTACAGCCCTTCCCCCTTGCTAACCTGGCTCTCCAGCCTTGGGGCCTTGTTAGATGCTGGCCAGGAGTCTGAGATTGATCTTCTCTAATGTGGATCTTGCAGGGCTCATCCTTGCCTTTGTCACCCCCAAGCCAGACTGCTGTGCTGCCATTTTGTTCGCCTCAACAATGGTGCAGTTCAAGGTGCTGGTGATGACCATTAAAGTGCTGGTCTGGGGACGGGATGGCTCAGAAGCTGCCCCTTGCCAGACGTCCAGCCACAGCACTTGGATTAGCTGGGATGTTCTTGCTGATGGTTCCTCTAGTGGAAGCCTCCATGACCACTGGTGGACTGATTCCAGTGTAGACTCCAGCTCTGACATTTGCACTTTCCTCCCAGTGTGATACCCCAATATCTGTGTTTTGGTTCTGAACTTTGTTTGTTGTTGTGTTCTGTTCCTGACACTGCGTTTTCACGGCCTCCCTCAAGCTCTCCAGCCAGTGCCCTTCTGGGTCTCCCTGCTTACACAGCACTGGTTTACTTCCTCTCCACCTTTGTCCTGGTTCACCAACTAGGGTTATTTTCTGCAGGGAGGAGCTGACTTTTGAGATGCTTGCACTGGAGCCCCGAGCCTCTGATGATGAAACCCTCGAGTCTGAAGCTTCCATTGGCACTGCGGATAGCTCCGAAAATTTGAACTTTGACTCTGAAGGGGCTATCTCTGATCGATCGGGTAATCACAGTCCTCTTCTGACAGGTTTTCTTACTAGACTGATTCAGTGCAGCAGAATTGGGCCTACTGATACATGCAACAGCATCGGCACTTCAAGCTTTAGAGTGGTGCTTAGACTTCCCCCCCCCCCTTCCTTCCTAGTCTGTGCTGCAGCGGCACTGCGTGTCCTACTCATGCGTGTGCAAACTCTGTCCCACAACTGAGACTCCTCCAGTCCCAAATCATAGAATTGTGAGCAGCCTAATCCTAGAGTGGGCTAAAGCATTTGCTTGGGAGGTGGCATTCCCTGCCTGGGACACCCTCCATCTTCACCCCAGAGGGAGCATAGTCTGTTGATTAAAACACAGGCCTGAGAGACCTAGCTTTGCTACTGACTTGTGAATGGACTTCAGCAAATCACGTAATCATTTTGTGCCTGAAATTGTGTCAGACCCCCTGGTTGTCCCAGACACTGTGGGTAACCATTTCACATGTTAACCTGTAGGCACCGTGGGTTGGTCACTTCTCTTTTCCAGTTTAATTGCATATGTTCCCCCTGACATGCCCAGCAAATTCACTCTCAGATAGTAAGAGTTACATAACTGTATATGCAGCCTTGTGTGTATCTGTTCTCATTCCCCTCCCCTCTCTTTCTATCAGAGAGAAGTTTAGCACTTAGTTCACTGAGGCCTGTCAAGATTGAATCCACGAGCAGGTCGCGAAGGCACCTGAGGAAGCAGCAAGACTCTCTGGACTCAGTGGATTCTTCGGTTTCTTCTCCGTCTTCATCCTCCTCGTCCTGCTTACCTCACGTGACTAGGAAACGATTCCAAATGTACTCCAAGTCACCCTTCTATCGAGCAGTTGCTCCTGGCAATATCACTGAGCAGAGGTTGGGACTTGAAGGGTTACCAGGGCAGCTTAGGGGTCTGGATGACAGGCCCCAGTTCACCAGCAGAGGGACGTTCAGCCCTGAGAAAGGCAAACAGAAACTTAAGAATGTGAAAAACTCACCCCAGAAAACCAAAGAACTCCCAGAGGGGGCAGCTGGGGCAGGCCGGAAAAGAAACACTGAAGCAGACTGCAGCAGCACCCAGCAGCTGGTGCTTTTTGGGAACAATGAGTTTATGGTGTGAACCAGTTGCCCCAAATCTCATCATTGCTGCAGACAAGTGATAGCATCTCACCTTTGGTATCTTCCCCCCCATCATCACCGCCACCATTGTAGAGTTGCTGCCAGCTGCCCATGCAAAGCATTTATTCACTAATTGCTTGGGCTTCCAACCTTGCATTGCCAGTGCTACGGGGAGCAGGAGACTAACTCTTAACAAAAGCCTGTTGGGGACAGTTTCAGCAGTGGCCTTAGCTCTTTTTAATATTTTGGAACTCAAAACCTGCCAGGTTTTTCTGACTGGGGACTCAGAACAAAAGAAAATAAATTGGGGGAAGAATTGCTGGTGAGCTCTCTTTTACTTCCCATCAGCCCTTGGCTTTCTCTTTCTGAGCAGAGGAAATGGGGAGAGGGAAAATCAAACCGCCAGGTAACGCCAACAGGATCTTGGAGTTTGGGGAGCTGGTCCACGCCTGTCTTGACCTTGATGTGAAAGCTGCAGACTGTGTGTTTGTGCTGGGATGAAGCATAAACTCCTCCTTACAAGGAACCACAGCAAAGAGTAGACCAAGCCCTTTGTTCAGAGCTATTTATAATGCACTCCATGTTGTTGTCAGGTGATAATAAAAAGCTATCATTTCCATTCAAACAATCAGAGCATGTCTCAAAACTCCCACCACACAGACCTGCAATGAAAAGAGAGTGATTTTTATTTTTGTTGTTGTTGATGTCAGGAAAACTAATGCCAGTTTGACTCCTGGTTAGTTCAAGCCAAATACTTGTGCCGAATTTTCAATAGCCATAACTAATCCTGTGATCGAGGCACAAAGAAGGGTTTTTAAAAAACAAAGGAACCTTTAGAAATATAAACCTAAAATATTTACAGCCACATCACAACCCTGCAGTGCTGCCTACTTGTATACACTGACCAAGTGAACAATGGTTAACAGTTCCAGTGAAGGACAGGAACTTCTCAGCCAAGCAGCAAACTCATGCAGACAAAACAGCACTATTTTAATTGCATTGTTAAATCAAAAGGAAATGCATGGAAAAGTGTTAAGGAAATTTTCCCAAAGTAATCTGTTTTTAAAATGTGACCTAACCAACTTTCTCCCCTTTTCTCAGATCATCAGTATTAAAAGCAAAAAGAAAAAAATCAAGGACTACTTTTTGTTAATATCCTGGTTACTGAAGTTCACTGTATATATATTTTAAAGGTTTTTATTTTCCCCCTACATGGAACGTTTTTGCCAGGAAAAGAAAGGGAGAAGTGAGGGAAGATAGAATTAGCCCCTAAGATTATTGCAGGGAAAGAAATGGCACCATTTTTCACCATAGTGCATCACCATTCACCATGTCTCAGCTCACTGAACATTTGTGAGATTAGCAACCTGCCTAAACTGCTTAGAACATGTGAGAAGCTGATGCATGTGCACCTCTCACTGTAAATGTGACACCTTTGTCAAGGCAAGTATGTGACAAATGTTTGTTTTAAAAGTTCTCACTAGATCTCTTTAGAGTAAGACGAGCAGTGTCATTCTGTCAGATCAAGGCTAGATTTGTCATTCATGATGTCATCCTGTGACTTGCCACCAGCACAGATGTTGCTGTAACACTTTTAAAAAACAGATTTGTAGGAATCTAGTTAGTAAGCTTAGAGGCAGTAGTCCAGGTGGTCACTTAGTGACTTGGAACTTTATGGGGATGTCCCTACGTGTTAGTCTGCATCCATGGTCACATGGATGAAGACCAGCAATCCCAGAGCATCATTCAGAGAAATTACAGATGCCAGTCCATTTCCCTAAGCAGCCAGGAATTTGCTGATGCTGAGAGGAGGAGTTGATTAGAAGGGGCTTCAGGACCTGAGTTAGAACTATTAGCTGAATAAATGCTGGATTGGACCTGCCAGTTAACCTGCTAGTTCTGTACTGGGTAATGTTCTGAAGCCAAATGTGCTTCTAACCTTGATCCTCCTAATCAGAAATCTAGAACAGCAGTGTCAGAATAGCAGCACTGGTTTGTGTACCTGACCTCTCTCTCTCTAGCAACCAAGAGTAACGGGAAAAGACATTTGCATTTCATAATATTGCTGGGTAATGGTTTTGTTATTTTACCTCCATAATATGGAACTAGAAGTATCATGCAACTCCCAGTAACCCCTTCCCTTGCCTCCCTTCAGTAGCGTTCCAGTACAGAACCAAGTCTGCATCCTGGCTTCACAACAGTATATCTCAGTTCAGAAAGGGCCCTTCCTGAACTTGCAGCTGTTGTGGACAATGGGACACCTGGTTTCGTACATGGGTGAGCACCCTGGGGATGAGTCAGTCTGCTGGAGTGGCCTGTAATAGTAGTAGGTTTAATGATTCCTTCCTCTCAGACTTCACTGGTGGGGGAGCAATACTTTGGCATGTTCCTCGGCTGGTTGAACCTGCATTTCTTTAGAGGGATTTTTTTATTTATTTATTTTTTTTGGCAGTGAAAAAAATGTAATTTAGGCCACTTTTGCCAGAGTGGTGATGACATGGAGCAGGGACAGGGATTTACAGTTCCTGCTTTGACCTCCGTGGATTTAATTATGCCAAACTCTTTAGTTCTAAAGTTGCTAATTTAATAGGTCTCTAGCCGTTTTACAGATGAACCAAGAAACCCCTGGCAAGGTGGGTGGTGGTTATGAAGGTGGAAAGTAACTAAGGAAACGCTACAGGGCACCCAAACCCTTCAGAAGCCAATTATAAGATTACCCAAAAAATGCATATGAAGTGGATAGAATATGCTGTTGTTTCAACTGGAATTAAATGAACTGATGCCATGCAGAGTAATAAAATTTTAACTTTAAAAATAAAGTTTTAAACATGAATACAGACCAGCTAACTACAGATTTTGCAACTAGAACTTAGTTAACCATTCTGATGGTGCACAAGCCAGAAGCGATTTCAGTGCATACAATCTTAGAGTGGGTTGGCTCTGCACAGCTTATAGTCTAAAGGAGTCAAAACTTACATTTAGTCAGTAGAGTCAGAGGAGACTAAATACTCGCAGAGAGCAGATTTGTTGAGGAAGGATGTGCCGTTTTTACATAGCCTTTGTTTAAAAAAACCCATAACTGCACTTCAAGATCAGAAAAGTCACTCTGTAAAAATCTCCTCTTAGTGGATTCATATTGTTCTTTCAGTGATTTTCATATGGGAATTTGCTGTGTTTAAAAGTCCAAGCACAAGCTGTCGAACTGCCAGCACAGTGGGTTCAACCTGTTATTTCAAAATCAGGCTGTGTTCTTTGTGCTTCACACTGTGTATCATCTCCCATGTGGAATCAGAATGCTGCTGGCACTTTTGCTGAGGCTCCTTCAGGCAGAATAGTACACAGCTTGCTTTTCTTAAGCTGTACTGAGTTCTGCAAGACTGATTCAGAGCATACTTTATGAAGGAGCCACTTTTACAGAGTTACTTTTGGGATCATCATCTGATAGAGAATCCCTGTTCTGATGGCTCTGCAGATGGAATCGTTAGAAATAGGACAGGGCTCAGTTTTCAGCAGGGATTATTCCTACTTACCTTCTTCCGAAGGTTTTTGCACCCATTGACTTGCGGGTTCCTCAATAATGTTGATTATTGAACTACAAATTTCTGCAGAAGCAACGGGTCAGGATGGGGAGGGACATCATGAAGTTTTCACAAAAGGTGGTACAGGTTGCTGTCCCCTGCAGAGTCGTACTTAATATTGCCATGCAAGGAATTAAGTTTGGGATCCCCCCACAGTGTCCACACCTGCAGAAGCAGCATGCATCTGCCCATATATGATAGCAGAGGCTGCAAGTCATACCGCTGTTACAGCCTTTTCAGTTGGGTCGAGTGGAGGATACACAAGGAGCTATGGATAGCTGCCTCCGCTCAAGGGGTGAGATTTAACATTAGCTGAAGACTGTTAATACTGGAAAAGCATCAGGGGATCCAACATTGATTTATCAAGCCCTGCTTTGTTTAGATTAAGGAACGGTCTGTCTGTCCCCCCCCCCCCCCCCACTCCCCATGGTGTTGGTGAAGAGGAATTACATAAGCACTTGTAATTAAGATGTTAAGCACCAAACAGTCTGAACACAGCTTCCCATTAGAAATCAGATGTGTATGGTTCAAAAGGTGATACACACAGGAAGCCCTGAATGAAAACGTGGCTTTCGACATGCCCGCCTCTGCTGTTCTCAGGGTTTCTGACCCTCCACAACGAATCCACTTCTGCAACAGTAACTCTAGGCTTCAGATACACTCCAGGGGTGTCCTAGCTTTCCTTTCTTCCAATCCAAGAGCATTCATTTCAGCCAGAACCCTCCCACCCACCACTTTCCTTTTATCTTGTCTTGAAGTGGGGAGGGGGAGACAGTGAAAAGGTTCTAGTGGGTCCAGACTGTGTGTTCTGTTTTTGTCGTTGTTTAATTATTATTTTGAACACAGGCACGGGATAGACCAATTCTTTGTTTCGTTCCCCGTCCGCGTTTAAGCCTGATGCCTGTCTTCCAGGCCTGTCATGCAGTAGGTAAGCGGTAGGTTCTCCGATATGATACACTCCTTGTACCAAGTGAATGTACTTACCACTGGAAAGGATAGGGGCTGCATATTATTATTAATTATTATTATTTGTAATGGAAATTTTTAAAGTAATTTATAAGTATGCTGAGTGTAAATTTAAAAAGCAAAGTCTGTATTGTAAAAGGATATATTATCCTGTGTCATATGCTCTATACATTTTACCTGTTTAGGAAAAAAGACTATATAAAGGAGAAGGATTTCTCTTACCCACAGAGCCAGATTGCATGCCACTGTGCAGTCAACTGGCACTTTGTCATTTCATGTCAGTAGGTTTTCTTTAATTTTTTTTAATTAATGTTGTTTTTTTCCTTCTGGAACAAGGCCGTCATATGTATAAAGTGCAATTTGTGTAATATTTCTTAAATATATACTGTATGGCTGTACAAAACCAACTTTATGAACAAATAACCCCTAGCTTATTAAAGAACAAAGCTATTAAAAAGCAAAGAATGACAGTGATTGATGTGGTTTGTATGACTTGGGAACGTTGCTCCCAACCTCTCCAGATTCACTTTCCTTTGACTCGTGGCTTTCAAGTATTGGCAGGGATCAGGAGGACAACCAAGAGTAGTAGCACCCAGGTAAGACATTTAAGGCTTGACAGAGGAGTGGGAACAGGGTGTGTGTCTCCTGCTTGCTTCTCCAGAACAGACTTCAATCTAATGTGGCCCAGATGCATTCTAAAGACATTATGCAAGGTCCCAGCATACAGCCCCTGAGACAGATCTCAGCTATTGAGACCTGAGTTTCCACGAATCCCCAGTGTGTACTGAAGACATGGGTGGCTGCAGTGTGCTCCAGTTGTGCACAGTAGGGGCAACCCTTAGACTCAGTGACAAATTTCCATTGCATCCCTTGACTGGGCAAAGTTTGAGCTCCCTGTCAGAAATGGTATGCCCCTGGATCTGAGAGCTGGGACTCATGATCCTGGGAGAGAGAGAGAGGGAAACCATTCTTCCAGGTTTAGTAGCATGTCTGCCTTCAGCATGGTGGTTGAACTAGTCACAAGTGATCGTGTAACAATTACCAATACTGGATAAAGTCGCCAGAAGACCATGATTCCCAGCTTCTGATAGTCATCAGCAGTTCCCCTATGGGAACAGAGAAAAATGATGCAAGTTTTACTGCATGCTGGAAGTGTCAGCTTGCGGAGCCACCCTCCCATCCCAAGCAATGGGCCTAGCTGCATGAGTCCAGATGAAGTAGTGCCCGCTGGGACCTTTGGTCCCCACTGTCAGGATTCTGTGATTTGGTAATGCAAAATAAAGCATCTCATCTTTAAGTTACTGGTCCAAACTCAGCTGCGGTAGGTAGTGACCTGAAGTTGTACGGCTGCTCGATCCCCTTTGTGAAATGAGTTAGTAAGCTCAGTCCAGTATCCATGTCACTAAAACCACTACACAGTTATCACTAGTTGGCTCTGCTATTGACTGTCAGTAGAAAGGCTTAAGACTGAGGACTGAGGTGAGCGAACACCCCCTCTCTCTCCTAGCAGTAGGTGGTCTCTCCAGGTCAGGGTTGAAGCCCACTGACCACGTAATGCATGAAGGCTTTTCTTGCTGTACCCAATGGATGGATGGATAGGAGTTCCATCTCCAGAACTATTCATTTGGCATCTCATGAGCTTCTCATTCACATACAAATAAAGAAGAGGGCCCTCTTTCTGCATTCAGCTGTGGCCGGTGGCATGCTGCCATTATGGCCCTAGCTTTGGGGACTGCTCTGGGCTGAGCACACCAGAAACCCACAAGGGTTCTTACCTCGAGCCGTGGTTAGCAATAGGCTGCAATGCAACTGACCTGCGAGAGGAAGGGTCTCATCCAGTAGTGTGAGGTCAGGAATAGACTGGCTGCTCCTGCCCGGGGAGGTGAGTGGGATGCACAAAGGAAGTAGGGCTAAACTGAGAGAGAACTGAACAGTTCCAAAGAGCACACTTTATTAGTTACACCAAGTCAGCAGACAGCACACACTCTGGCAGCTGCAGGGCGAGAGAGGCACTCTGGAAATACGATGTGTGTTTGTACAATTACAAACTATGGACTATGTAAAAAATTGCCCTGCCCCCCTTGCTGCACACACCCCCTCTTGGTTGAAGGGCATTGACTCAACATCAGCATGGCTGAGCCACGATAGCCTTTCCGAGGCAACACTGTCCTTGGTGCTCCCTTTGCTACTCACCAATACGAGTTTTAACTCTTTAACCTCAGAACCCTGGCATTTGCCAGCCAAGCGAATGCTTGGGACATAGTGTCACTGTAGTCTCCAAAGAGAGGAGTTTATGACATTGATGCAGGCAACAGTTCTCCTCATGCAAATATGCCTATCAATATGCCTTCCCTAACAGATCCTATAACAGTTGTCCTTCCTGCATGAGAACAACATCCATTGCTTGCTTCTCCTGCAAGGCACTGCAAAACCCTGCCTCTTCAGAACATGGCGTCCCGTTTGACTGCTTGGATAGCGCTGCTCAGAGGGTGTCATGCTGCCGGAACACACTCAAGGCCCAGCAGTGCGATATGTGTCATTATGCCCAGGTCACGGCCTCCCACAGTGCAGCTTTTCCGCATCAGCAGCCTTCCTCCTTTACTGCACAAAAAGGCTCTTCAGTTCAGAAGACACGGTAGCAGAGATCACATCAGCCTCTCCAGGTCTTTGACTCCGAGCTGTGCTCTCCTAGCTGCAATTAGGGTTTCAAAAGAGAGGCTACAAGTCCAGGGTGCGTTTCAACTTCTCTGCAAACTCTACTTACATTTCTCAGTTCAAATGCAATAGTAGATGTTCTGCCATCACCAAGTGTCCCTAGTCCGAGAGAATGCAAGGTGCCATATAGCAAGACAACAGACCATGCATCCCGTGTTAAACGTCATAGTCTTCCTTAAAGTCAGTGTCTGGATCGCCTGTTAGAGCCTGGTGTGTGGTGGGAAATCCCAGTGAAAAAGTAATTTTAAAAACACATCTTGCACAGATGATGATCTGCTGCTGGTTATCCCCTATTTAGGGTTCAGCAGATACCAAAGGCAAGTTCATTTCTTCCCCCTCCAACTGACAGTCACCTTTTCCTTGACCCTCATAGGCCACCATCTGGGCCATAGCCCATGGCAGGACGTGGGAAGATTTCCAGAACCAGACCTTCCCCCTCTGCCTTCCTTCCATATGATACGGGTTCTGAGCCTGGATCTCTTCCAGACTTTCATTTTTTTCATTAATTTTGCTGACGTTCGTGCCTCACTTTGCATCAAGAGCTGCATTTGCCCACCCCCATTGGGGTGGTGTTAGTACAGTGTCCTGGCTTTCCACCATGAGTTTGTGTTCTTCACATATGTAACGTTAGTTTCATCTTGGTAGGTAGGTACCAGGTGATTCTTGTGGTTCTACTAATGGAGCTTGTAAACTTCTGGTCAATTCTGAGTCAGAGCATCTGCTGTGTGAGCTTCCCGGGGGTGACTGAAACCCCCAATGGGTTACAATGACCTGAATGTTGATAGGAAACAATTTCCAGTTGGCTGCAGCTGCTTGTGAACAGAGATTAATCCTGGCCCATACTATGTCAGGATTGGTAGATATGCAGTTGACTTGGACAACTCACTCAGGACTGAGTGGGATCTCCACATTCCTTTCACCTGCTCTGGAAACCAGGTTCTTGGAACTACCAGGAAGCCCTCAGCACCCACCTCAAGGGACCCTGGTCGCAAGAGGGACAGGTCAGTTTTTGAACATGTCGCAGAGCAGCTTCTCCATGGGAGTGTTCCCGATAGTTCTGCGGAAGAAGAGGAGCTCGATCCGGTCTGAGGAAATAAACCTCAAGGAGGGAAGGAGCAGGAGCAGTTTCCCAAACCTGGAGGAAAGCAGAGAAGTGTCAGTATGGGTTTGGTTAGCTATTAAGTAGAGGGAGAGTCTCAGGGAGGATTTTGATTTTACCCTGCTGTGTCAGAGGTCAAAGGGCTAACAATATCACAATGAGTCAGTAGTTCCCTGGCAAGAGGGGCTGCCCAAACAAAGCTTGCAGAGAGAGAAAATGTTCTGACACGGGTGGTTTCCCCTTGATTTATTCCATCTAATTTCCCTTTTGGGTAACGCGCTTGGGCCATCAAAGCGTGTGTGGCCATGTGTCCCTGAAAACACAGAGCAATTTGCCAACCTACCTACCACTGGGCTGCTGAGTGTAATGCTAAGGTTCAGGCTGGAAAGTAGGGACCTACCACTATAATGTTTTGTGTTCTTCACAAGTACAACATGGTCCATCAGGATGAATTGACTCTAGGCTCCTGCCAGATCTTCCCAACCACGCCTGGAGGAGCCACCGTGTAGCCACTGTTCTAAAGCAGTGGCACATTGGCCTATGCTCAATCCAGCAGCTCAGTGATGCTGTCATCTGTTTCATGCCATGGCTGCCTGCACTTGATGGCTTCACTCCAGAGGAGGAATGACAGCA